TATTTTAAACAAAATAGTTCGTACGCATAGCTGTATCTTTGTCAATAGGTGGAATATTTGGGTAGTTTTGGTATCAAATGAAAGCTTGGGGACTTGGGATCACTGTAGAACCCTTGTTGAAAGTTTCTTTTGAATAATAAAGAAGTATATACAATTTTAATAGGAGGGCTCATTTGCCCTGATCTTCTGCTCAGAAGTACCTGTTTTTGTACTATCAAACTTTCGGGAACCAGTACGCTCTAATATGCAATTAAAGGTATGTTGAATTTTTCAGCACAAGTCAGGATAAGGTATAGTTTTGACATGAAATAACTGCTACTTTATTTGAACTTAAGACAAAGTAGCCATTAATGCTTGAAATTGCAGAATTTAACATAGAAAGCAATGGGGCTATGAATTAGTGGTTTTATACCTATTACTGAAAGGCATGTGAAATTCTATTTTTAGAAATCATACCCTTTACAATGAAAATTAGTCACATTTGTTGTCAGTAATCATGTTACATTATTTTTTTGATGTAACAATTATGTTGGTGTCAAATTACAACCCTCAAATTGCTACAATAAGGTATTTCAGCCTTTTTTGAGCATTTAGCATGCACACAGTTAAGATTTTACCTGAAGTTTAAATTTTTCCATTACCTTAGACTGAAACCAATGAAACATGTATATTATGACTAGTTAGTAGTATAAATATTGCTTTTGGTCAAATTATCTAGTGAGTGTTCATGTTTTATTGAGTTTCTTAGTGAATCATTTATTTTCAAATGAAATTGATGTATACTTATATAGGATTTCCAAAATCTCACTTGAAATGCATTTTATAACCAGTTTAGCAAGTTGTCTAGCTGGGAGATACATAAAATGCTCTTTTTGATCCATGTTTATACATAAAAGTATGGTTTTTACCAAATCACTCTCCTTTTTCAACATGTAGAAAAAAGGGGGGTCAAAATTATCTATTATTTTTTATGTTTGGACCACTGTATTTATATTCAAGGAAGAATCTTTGATAAAAATAAGACAAATATGTAAGGACACTGTTATTTGAGTAGATATTAACAAATAAGAACTGGTAAACATTGAAAAAATGTCATATCTGTCACTATTAGTATTCCTATGGAGTTTTCTTTGTATAACGCATATGTTACTACCAGTCCAATTTGAGCTTGAATTCAGTGATATTGTGTTTTGACTAAAGCTTTATGTGTTTTTCTATGCTAGAAATAGATCATAGAAGGAAATTAAGTCAAGCAGAAGTCAATATAACAAGTTAGGTGCTGTTATAGGTATAGAACCACTAATTAAGGCCCGGTCGGAAAGAACATACAAGAAAGTAGTACATATTTTAAACAAAATAGTTCGTACGCATAGCTGTATCTTTGTCAATAGGTGGAATATTTGGGTAGTTTTGGTATCAAATGAAAGCTTGGGGACTTGGGATCACTGTAGAACCCTTGTTGAAAGTTTCTTTTGAATAATAAAGAAGTATATACAATTTTAATAGGAGGGCTCATTTGCCCTGATCTTCTGCTCAGAAGTACCTGTTTTTGTACTATCAAACTTCCGGGAACCAGTACGCTCTAATATGCAATTAAAGGTATGTTGAATTTTTCAGCACAAGTCAGGATAAGGTATAGTTTTGACATGAAATAACTGCTACTTTATTTGAACTTAAGACAAAGTAGCCATTAATGCTTGAAATTGCAGAATTTAACATAGAAAGCAATGGGGCTATGAATTAGTGGTTTTATACCTATAAAAAATACATGTATACATATCTTTTGCAGCCTTTAAAAAGTAAACCTAAAATCTGTTTACGAGTTCTTGTACGATACAGTTAGTTTGGTATCCATAAATTTCGATTGATTTATTGATTGAATGTTGGTTGCATAATGAGCAGTGGCAAATATGTTATGCATGTTCAGGACGAGAGCAAATAAACAATAAATACAATATGTTGGTTCTGTAATAGAGGCCGTCCGGGATGAAGGTCTTGGATATTTAGACTGTCAATAGAAAATAAGGGTAAATTCAATTAGAACAGAATTTTGCCTTGCAACACACTCACTTACTGACTCCTTTTCAACTTTTAATAGAAATTTCTGCGAAAAACACTTCTTAAATTCTGATAAAATCTACTACTAGATGATTTACGTTAAATAACTTTAAATTGAGAAATTATTAACACACTAATGTGCAAACTCCCTCAGGCAAAATTGACCAAAAAGGAATTCGGCTTTTTTTCTGGTTTTTTTTTGTTCATATTGATTTTAACGTGTTAACGTCTTATACATCCTTGGCTTTAAAATTTTTGGTTTCATGCATTCCTGATAAATGTAAATCTCGACTTTTCTTTGCTTCAGACATATTTCGTTTGTTAATATCAGCTGTTTGCCAATTGACTTAGATAGCTTTTGTTACTAAAAATACTGTACTATGTATACCAAAATTGATGTATCATAAAAAGTATGAAAGGAAAATATTTCTGGAAAGTCACAAGAAAAGACAGATATTGGAAATGATAAAGGTTTTATGTTTCGAAAGCCAAATGAAGATATCAACGACAGTTAATTTTTTTCTCAATCCGATGATTGTAGCTTATTTTAATTCCAGATTAGCTATTTTTTCTGCTTTTTTTTCTAGATATGTGTAAGAAGGTAGTAAATAGTAACAAACATCAATACATCAATATTTAACAGATGTGTTTACTTGTTTCAATTACTGTAGTAGGAGATTTTTATTGTTTTTGTCTAAATTCAAATTATCATTGTCTTTATACTTTTCAAAATGTTAGTGAAAAAAACAAAATACAATATTAAAAATTCCACATTCTACAGCTTGTATGTTCTTTAAAGTACGGGAACGACCATTCAATTTTTCGGATTTTAATTTGTCTTTAACTAAATAGTCAAAATATTTCTCCTCAAATTTTAGAATTCGAAGTTGTGATTATGTTTACATTTTATTTATACTGACAGGTTTATCGTGCAATACAACCGAGTTTGAATGCGACAATGGAAAGTGTATTGCAAAAACATTAATATGTAACGAAGGATTTGATTGTTATGACTCTCCAATATCCACAGACAGATCAGACGAAAGTAATTGTAAGTTAAAATGATTTGTGATACAAATACTAGCTTACACATTCAATAAAAAAATAGTTGTTATATTTTTTGAGTTCTTTTAATCCTGAAATACAAATTTCAGTATCATTTTTAAAGTACACTCAATTAAGAAAAGTATATCTTTTTAGAGTTGGTTTGGTTCAAAATATAATGAGAGAAAAAAGAAATATTGGCACTTTTTATTGTTAACGAAATACATATTAAGCAATCGTTGACTTAAAGAGCTCTCAATATATGTAAAACTATCCATCTTGAGGTACCCAAACGAACAAATGTTTATACAGCTCCATGATAATTAAGAAATAAAGGAAAATATTGGCACCTTACATTGATGCTGACAACAAATTTTGCCATTTAAAAATAATTGTTCTTCCCGTTTAGGTCTAACAATTCATCTTGAGGTATAAAAAGTACTCAATAAGAAGGCCAGTACATGAACATTTATATAAAGAAAAGAAATATTGTCACTTTTTATTGTTATCGACATAATTATAAGTAACCGTAGAATCATAGAGCTCTCAATTTGTGTAAACTATACAACCTGAGGTACCAAAAGGACAACATTTCAATGCTGTTACCTAATATTCATACAAAACGGAAATATTGGCAACTTATATCGATTCCAACAACAAGTTGTGCAATTTTAACCATTCGGTCCCAGTACTTAAAATCTTTCAATCCTTTATGGGTGGATTTGGCATACATAAATAAAATACAAAAATAAGAAAGCAATGAATGAGTGTTAAATTTAATATATGCCTTTTTGTGCTTCTTTGTTAAATATTTGTATGTTTTTATTGTGATTAAGATTATAACACAATATTGACTGCTATACCACTAATATTTACCCTTTATGTCTGTTTGATTTGTTCACGCATCGTTGTCAATATAATGAAATTCGATGCGACTGTCGTACAAGTGAGAGGTTCAGCGCTATAAAACCAGGTTCAATCCACCATTTTCTACATAAGAAAATGCCTGTACCAAGTCTGGTTTATGACAGTTGTTATCCATTCGTTTGATGTGTTTGAGCTTTTGATTTTGCCATTTGATTAAGGACTTTCCGTTTTGACTTTTCCTCGGAGTTCAGTATTTTTGTGATTTTACTTTTTATGCAACAATATTCAAGATAGCAACAGGAGTAAGTGAGCGACTGTTTACAACATTCTTGAAGGCAGATTTATCTTGGACGAACTTAAACAGATATCACGAAACTAAAAAATTAGTTTTCGAACCATGTTACTGTTTTCAAATCCAAGTTAACCACCGAAATCAATAAAAAATGTTTTACACTTGTCTTCCGGAAGAAATATCTATGTACAGTTTTTTTCAATGTTTTAGATACGTTTCATATCATGCTTTGTATTTGTTATTCTATATATTTGTCGAAAAGTGGCAATTTGGCATTTTACGTAGCTAGTCATGTGATATGATTAGTCAGTGTATCCAGGATACCATTGCAACTACGTTAACGCGCGTTGAATATCAAAGGTAAACGTCCATTTAATTCTAAAAAAAATCGAAGATGCATCTGCTTCACGTTAACGTGCAGACGTACAAAATAAACGCATGTTTACTTTTTATGTCTATCGAAATTTCGAAGGTAACGCCGAGTTAACGTGGGATTTGCATGAAGTGCACGTGAATGAACACCGAGTTAACGTTTTTCGCCTGTTTACATGTAATGGTTGGTCTGCACCCAACTGTATTTTATTTTTTCATTGAAGGTACAATCATCGATCCTCCTTGTCCAGAAGGAGGATTTAAGTGTTCTTCCGGAGACTGTGCAGGCACCGAAGCAGATTGCCCTCAGAATTCGTCTACAGAATTTCTGTATACAGAATCGACAACGTCGGCAATATATACCGAATCCACAATCCCATCATTGGTTAGCGGGTTAAGTGAATCAGTATTCTTTTCCGCATCCACAGCAGCATTATTCATCGAATCATCTTTCTCACAATCTGTCTTCGAATCCGTTGTATCATTATCTACAGAAGAAACTGTGTTAGATTCATTGTCAAATACACAGTCAGTTGTGTCAATTTTTATTACACGAACTGTTTCAAGTTCACTTGCTGAATCAAACATGTCATTTTCAATCTCTATCGAACAAACATCGTCATTTCTCTCTACCAAATCAGCAGTTCCTTTGTCATCCGAATCGTCAGGGTTATCAGTGTATACCGACTTAACAGGTTCTCTTCGCGATTCTACAGAGTCAACAGTTATGACCGAATCTACAGCAGAAATATTGTCTACCGATTCACAACTTCCCTTTGAAACAACAGTTCAATCATTATTCTCAGTGGAACAAACATTGATATTGTCATTACCTCCTATCAAATCAACAATTTCATCCACATTGTTATTTGAGCCAACAACATCAATAGTTTCTTCGGAACAAATAGTTCCGGTATCATTCAATGAATCAACACCTTTTTCTTCGATGATAACCGAACAAACAATAATACCATTTTCTTTAGAATCAACAGCTCAATTGTCGTCGAATAAACAAACAGTTCAACTATCATCAACTGAACCAACAGTTCAATTATCAACTTCTGAATCCAGTATTTAATTATTATCGACTGAACCATCGTTTCAATTAACATCGACTGAATCAACGTTTCTATTATCATCGACTGAATCAACAGTTAAGTTGTCATCAACGGAATCAACAGTTCAGTTATCTTCGACTGAAACAACAGTTCATTTTTTATCGAATAAATCAACTGTTCAGTTATCATCAACTGAATCGACAATGATATCATCAATGTCTATTGAACAATCAATTCCATTGCTTTCTACAGAATCATTAGTTTCCTTTTCATCGCCAGAATCAACTGTTCAGTTATTATCGACTGAATCAGCAGTGCTATCTTCAATGCCAATTAAACAAACAACATCATCCATTCCTTTAGAATCAACAGTTCTCTTTTCACCTACTAAATCAACTGTATTGTCCACACCAGTACTAACATCAACACCACCAATTGATGGTACACAACCAGACGATACGAATCATCCAGGTATAAAGTCTTTTTTTTTTGTACAAATAATATGTGGTATGATTGTCAATGAGACACCTATCCATTAGAGATTTACTGTTGTTTGTTTCTTATCAAATTAAGAAAATCTTAATTGAATTGTAAATGGAAAGAGCATATATCATAAACTACGTTTTTTCTAAATCTGTATACAGTAATCTGCATCATCTTTACAATTGGAGTTCAAATCCACAAGGTAGAATGTCTGTTCTAGTCATAAGATGAGGTATTTGTAATTGCAAAGCTATCATTGTGCTCAGAAACAGAAACAGTTGGAAAATATGCGTTCCTGGAAGGTTCGACCGGAAAAACACATTTATCGCACAAAACATGTTTTTTGGCATAAAAAAATTCAACATAGAATCATTGAGCTGATACTATTGCTATTATATGCAATTGGATCATGAGAAATTCGTCCTATCAACATAAAATTAAATAAAATTGAACATTTATTTACAAGTTGAAATTTCTTATTATTGAATTGCATTTCTACACTACCAAGAATTTACCCACGTTTTTTTGGTATATTTCTACCCTCTTGCATATCAGTACTGTTATGAAAGACTAAAAACTTGTAATGTTATACTTTCTATAAATTCAGTATTGTTCATTAGTATACAATAACAATACAGTTACTAATTCTATGAATTCAGTACTGATTTTTTCATCTACATTTGCTGACTTGATTTCATCTAGGCTATTGTATTCCACTATTTTACAATCTAAGACTGCGGAAAATTCCTATACCACCTTTATCATCATTTGCTGGAAACTTGTATGTATGCTGGTTATGGTTCAATGAGAAAGCGATCCGGACGAAAGTAGAAATAAAACACACAAGGCATGTATTCCGTTTTCATACTTGTGTGATTTGTAGGGTAAAAAGTAAAATCACAAAAATGCTGAACTCCGAGGAAAATTCAAATCGGAAAGTCCCTAATCAAATAGCTAAATCAAATGATAAAACACATCAAACGAATGGACAACAACTGTCATATTCCTGACTTGGTACAGGCATTTTCAAATGTAGAAAATGGTTGATTGAACCTGGTTTTATAGCGCTAAACCTCTCACTTGTATGACAGTCGCATCAAATTCCATGCTTTAAAAAACACATAGGCGCTGATATATGTGTCTTAAATTATGCTTATTTTCTATGGCATTTTCGTTCACACTGTTCAAAAAAAGGTGATGAAAATACAAAAAAAAGGGCCAAATTGGCAGATATACATGATCTGATATGAATATTTTAGTGCCAAGAAAGAAAAATTTATATTTATAAGGTTAGTAAATGATGTCAACGTTTCTGATAAACGCTTTGAATGACTATGATTATATTTTATATGAATATATTAGTCTATACTGTTGAAAAAGATATAAGAGACTACACAAAGCGACACGTTTCTCCACCTTTATTCCGAGTCAATCACATTTTTATTGAAGTGTGGTAATCATTTACAATTTAAGAAAACAATTCTGTGCAATACTTTGTCGACATTAGAAAAAAAAATCATTCATTTTTGTAAAAAACATTATTGATATTTTACAGATTTTTCTTCTCTTTCTGTTGTCATTCCTATAGCTATATTGTGTGCCATATTAATTGTATTGGTTGCTACAGTGTTAATAAGAAGTGTACAATTTAGGTAAGAATCTCGTATATGTAATAATAAGAATACAATGTATTGCAGTTTAACACGTTTAAGCCGATATATACATTTTTTGTTTCTTTTTTAAACACTTCTGTACTTTTTATCTATAATATCGAAAAGAAGAAGGCAAGCACGTTTAAAATATTATGTGAGCCATTTTCCTCTACTAAGTCGTAACAAACTACTTTTTGAATGTCTTACGATTTAGTTTCAGATATCGTTAGTTCATTTTGTTTTATTATTGTCATATGGTTACTGATAAATATTGAGTTATTCGGGATTATGAGTCAGTAGCGGCTTTCTAATTTGCCGTTTACTTAGAAAGTACGGTAACATTTGAAAGCTAATACCTCTTTCTAAATTGTTTAATTGGGAAACAAAAGCAGAATTATTAAAAAGATGTTTTTGCCCTTTATATGTATTATTTATTGTACCTAATTTTACGTAGCCTTGCGTTTCATGTTGTGATAGAAAGTTTCTCCTGACAAAGAAGTTATTCTATTGATGGTTCAGACTTGTAACGTTGAAGACATTCCGTCATTTTATGATGATACAATTGGTAGATTGCTTTAATCTGAACACGACTGAGGCTCAAACCCATGACATTCCACACATGCTATCTCGGTACAATGATACCATCGAGGCAGTTAATATTTGATAGACGTGGTACATGTAGTTTTGAAAGTTTTATATGACAAATGATCCCGATATATTCCACTTGCTCCAACAACAATCCCGTCACCTTTCTCGGTTGTGTTATTACTGAATGCGACGTATTATCGTATTGTTACTTGCAATGAATAACCAAATGGGCAACTAGTGGAGCAGGAACTGTTTACCCTTCTCCGGCACATGGGTTCAGTTTGAGTTGATCGATTTGTTTTTCTGTGTAATGATTAGCTTAATTGGCTCTGGTATTTTTCCAGGATTCATTATGTTATGAACCTATTGGTATCTTCTTTCTATTTGACCGAAACATCAACTTTATTTTCAATAGAAGTATAAAAATAAATATTACATTTTAAGCTAGTTTATGTTGAAAAGTCATTTAACATTTAGCTCCCTGTATTAAGTGACATCTTTTTATATGAATTATAGATTCCACCACAGGAACAAATGTGATACGATATTTCTCCACTTCAGACAGTTAAGTTTAAAAGCGCGAGGCTTGCCGAGCTTCTAAAATAATTGAAATTTAATTTTCGATAGGGAAAAATAACACGAGTAAAAGTGGTGAAATCTGTTTTCATAATGATGTTTATGCTCCGCTTATGCGCATTATGATTTTTGGTCTCTGTGTCCGTTCGTTCCTTCGTCTGTTTGTCCGTCCGTTTGTTTGTTCGTCTATGCGTCCCTCTTCGGGTTAAAGTGTTTGGTTAAAGCTTTTGGTCACGGTAGTTTTTGATGAAGTTTAAGTCCAATCAACTTGAAACTTGGTACACCTGTTCCGTATGATGTGATCTTCCTAATTGTCATGCCAAATTAGAGGTTTGGTCCCAATTTCACGACGTTCTGCTGAACATAGGAAATGATAATGTCCACTTCAGGTTAAAGATTCTGTTCAAGGTAGTTTTTGATGACATTGAAGTCCAATTAACTTGAAACTTAGTACAAATTTTTTTTAGTAAAAGTTGACGGACGACAACGATGGACGACGAACCACTGACACCAGAAACCAAACTGGTGAGAAAAGTTCACTTGGAACTCAACGCATCTATCCCATCGAACTAGTGATAAAGGATACAACAGATACAGTTAAGTCTGCCTCATATCTTGACTTACATTTAGAAATTGACAATGACGGTCGGCTGAAAACAAAACTTCACGACAAAAGAGATGATTTCAGCTTCCCAATTAAGAACTTTCCATTTCTATGTAGCAACATTACAGCAGCGCCTGCATACGGAGTATATATCTCTAAATTGGTACGATATTCCCGGGCTTGAATTTCCTATTATGATTTCCTTGAGAAGAGGGTTACTGCTCACAAGGAAGCTATTACACCAAGAGTTCCAAATGGCGAAGTTGAAATCAATCCTTCGTAAATTTTACGGACGCTATCTCGAGTTTCTTGACCGTTATGGAATATCCGGTTCACATATCGGGTATGTTCATTATGTCGTTACTACAATCCCGTTCCATTTCCACGTATGAAACATACCAAATTAGACTAATTATCGGATTTGTACTACCATTGAGCAACAAGACAGGTGCAATATGTGGAGCAGGATCTGCTTACCCTTCCAGAGCACCTTTAATCACCGTGTTTGGTGGGGTTCGTGTTGCTAAGTCTTTATTTTTCTATGTTGTGTTCTGTTTACTATTGTTTTTCTGTTTGTCTTTTTCTTTTTAAGCCCTGGCGTGTCAGTTTATTTTCGATTTATGAGTTTGAATATCCCTCTGGTATCTTTCGTCCCTCTTTTTGGAGCGGGCACCTGAAACGCATTTTTCATACCAAACCTTTTTATTCATAACAAACCTTATGTGAAAATTTACATGGCAATTCTCTGTTACTGGTAAAAGAAATACGTTAACATGGACACGACTTCGATTAAAAAACCGACTGAACGCGAAATCAATCTGAAAGACATCGTGTTAAAGCACACACAACAGCAGGTATTTGAAAAAAAAGTCCTGGATATCTAGATTTTTTTTAGATTTAACAGTTCTAATACTGTACAAAATTGAAAAATCGGAATTAAACGCAAAAGTAATCTGAAGAAAATTATAAAACATTTATATATCGCAAATGGTATCCAATACTGCAGTACAGTACTGTAGTGCATACATATATATTGCCTGTGTGTTATCAGAATGATGGAATGGTTGACATGTATAACACTATATGTATCAGTCACTAAGTGTACGTTTACAAAATAAAAGAAATAAAAGGGAACAAACACCGTAAATATAAATTAATTTTTATTTCAAAGAAAGATGTTTTCACAAAGCATATTTCGTTTGATAGCGTGGTTGCAGCCTATCATTATTGTTGAAAATAGATGCTTATTTAACGTAAGCAGTTCATTTCTTTTTATAGTTTCATCTATAAGCTCATACATCGTAGCTAAAATGAAAAATGAAATCGAGACTTTGTAAACTTCTACGTCCAAAGCGCTTTCCTGGATTTACTTTCGTTAAGAGCGATCAATGCCAAATATCTAAAGCATAACAACTGACACAATGGAAAAGCTATATTTCCAAACTTGGGAATGCAAATAATAGCCATAACTCTTGTATATGTCGTACCTATAGATACATGAGATATAAAGCATTGGCAATGATTGAAAGTGATGTAATTTTGTATTTTGTATTTCAGGAACACTTACTCAAGATTTAATAGAAACTCATTGTTCATTAACAGTGATTCTATAAACTCAGTAACCACTATTGTGTCAGATGACAACCCAAGTTTTTTTCATATGGTTACAGCTTACAAGGCAAAAAGTAAGTGTGATTTGAGAAGATAGAAATACGAAAGACATAATTCAATTATAATCGTCGGTTTACAATTAGGCTTCGGTTAAACTGCAGTTAATCTATTCCAATTTGTAATACTGTGAAATTACTTTTGTTCGTGGGTATCAATTTTTAAGTATTGAGAAAGTTACATGTCATTTGGTCTCTTGTGAAGAGTTGTCTCATTGGCAATCATACCACATCTTTTTTTAAATATGTTCGTTGGTTTATAAATTCGTGGATTTTTGATGTTCTGAAGGAAAAAGTTAGGTAAAGATTCCATCTTAAACGAAGATTAATGAAAACAATCATATGTTATTCATTTTCACTTAAAATGTTCGTCTTCCATTTCTGATAACATTCATTAAATGTTTAATAAAATAATTGCAATTTAAATTATTGCATTGCAAACATGTAATCAGAAATGATGACACTAATTTGCCCGAGATCGAACAATTAATAGATTATGATCATCAAAGGTGTTAATTGTGCCATAAACATGTCATTAAAAGATAAAGGTTGCTTAAGCAATGAAACAAAAGTTCTTTGAATTAATACTTATAAAATAGAAAAGAAAGTCCAATATGAAATTATTATTTTAAGTGAGAAATATTAATAGATACGAATGAACAATGCAGCATCATAAATCTTCACCGGAAGTCTGACTTTCATCTTTCAAAACTGATTTTTCCATTAGAATAAAAGGTTCGTACAACTGATGTTAATCAAAGATTAAAATCCAACTGATCTTGTACATGCTACCCTGGTGCTACCACACTGCATATAGGTCATAATGCATTTGCAGATATCCGATGTTTTCTCTACATTACTATGATTTTCCCGTATCTATGTAATCAAACCTACAGGGGACCTTTACATCTGTTTTTTTTTTTACAACAATTGTAATATTTCGTTAGACACTTAAATTCATGGATAAAATCTTCCACGAATACCATGAAAATTGGTTCCCCACGAAAAAGTGCTTTCACAGTAATGGATGTGCAAATAGTAATATAACGAAAATACCGAACACTATGGAAAATTCTAAACAGAAAAAAAAAAAAACAAATGAAAAAAACCTGTCATATTTTTTGACTTAGTACAGGCATTAATAAATATCTTGCTACACATTGGCCTTACGTGTAGCTGTGAATTGTTTATATGATTGAAATTGAAGTCTTGGAGAATAGTTAGTCTATTTTACTTCGTTCATACGTTGCTTGATACATAATACCTAAATATAATATATTTCAAATATCTTCCTTTTTTTAAATTAAATATTGAAATTTGTAACTGTTTAGAAAGAGATTTTCATTAAAAAAAAATGAACAATTCGATTCTGATCATTGTTATTTACAAAAAGTATTTATAAATGAATACGGATATGTATTATGCTACCTGGACTCACATACGTATTCGAATGCGTTTTTATAATATTAGTTAGCAAGGTAACATTTTGCAATAACCCTACTTAGACATATAATTATGATCAAATGCCAACTCACTTTCGTTCTTACTTCAATTTTGCATCATTAACACAGAAACTGGAAGAACATACTTAAAAGTCTATAGTAAATTTGTCGCCGGATCGAGGCGAACACAAATGCAACACACGACAAAACAAAACTGCTAATGCGTTATAAATAACAGTATATATTTTGAGTACTATACGTGTACACCATGATTGACTCTTTCATCAATGTAATGGTAACAAATTGATGTATACATATTTTTAAATGACATTTTTTTCATATAAATCCATTTACATGTTTACACTTGCATTTTCAAGTAAATTATACCGGTGATCCATGCAAAAGATACACGCCAACTGGTGACTATTGGTATTAAAGGTGACCAGGACAAGATTCAACGATTGAAAACGAGAGCTGCTAGCCGCATCTTTTAATCATTACCTTTTCGTTTTTGAAAGTATATCGTTGATAATGCATAGCCACGGCCCGTCTAAAACTAGTAATTTACAAATGTATAAAGTGTTTTCTGATTTTTCAATGAAGATCAATCAGCTAGTAAAACATCAAGGAACAGAAAACTCACTGTATGAAGGAGTGTATAGTAGAATGAAAAAAGCATGATGCATTTTGCATGTTATATTAGAGTGTATAATCTTACAGACAATGTATCATTACCTCAACGTTCAATACTATGTTTCAAACATATATGTTGTTTTCATCATAAACATGAGAAAAAAAAATCATTGTAAAAAATGCCTTATAATTTCCTTAAAAATGCTTTCTGAATACTGATGTTTCTCGGCTGCAAAATAACTACTACTGTTTGATTACGTCTACAGTTAACATTGACTAATTGTGTGTTCCCGCTTCTTTTGCACTTAATGCGATTTCTTCAGGGTTAGCCTTTTAACCGAATTTGTATGATTTGGTTTGATTTCTGAAATATGTATATACTTGGGTAAACTATTGTTTCTGTCAATTTAAATGTATGTACGCACGGTATATACTAAAATATTAGGTTGCAAAAGATGCGGTTACTTTTTTGTGTTTTAACGCCACTTTTAAGCACCGCTTTTGTGCTATTTCGTGACGGCCAGTTTTTATTGATGGAGGAAGCCGAAGTGCCCGGAGAAAACCACCGACCTTCGATAGGAAAACTGACAATTCTATTCAATTAAGATTGGAGTCGAGTGCACCCGCAAGAGCGGGGTTCGAACTCACACCTTCAGTATTGACTGGATAGTGACTATAGTAGTAACTACTTAAACCACTCGGCCACTGAGCCCCCTTTCATTATACTGTTACAGTCTGCTGTGAGTTATTACCCGTCTATCTACCTATGTGCATAGTATCCTCCAATCAGCAAGATATAAGCGAGGATATTTGTTTTAAACTTGATAGAGTTACGGTTTATATATATTTGTAAATTGCAAATCATAATGTTGTTATTAAAACACGTAATTGATCTTACAAGGGTTTATTTCCAGCATGTTAATACTAACTAAAAATCTGTGAACAACGCAAATATAATATGTTGAACATTGTTTTAAGTAATAAGAAATAGAGTAACGTGAATTGTATTTCAAATATTATGAATCATGATCGGGATATAAAAATACGAAGCTATATTAGGTCAGAATAGTGATTTAAAAATAAGGAAGTGTCCAGCAGTCTGCAAATAAATGAACAAGTGTATCAACTCTATCGGAATACACGTTAATTGTAAACATGTATTCTCCTTTCAAACGTACCCTACAATGCATCTAACATATCCACTAACCTTCGGCATAATCTATTTTGCCAATTTTCGTTAAACCTCGATATTATCAAATTGGTATCTAATGAACGAAACAACTAGCCTACCTTTGTACGACTGATCTATATAGCTGTCTGAGAACATAATAAACCTTGTTTCAATAGCATCAATAATTTCTCATTATAGTGCTTAATAAACGTTTATCAAAGTAATTAGGCTTCTTATTTGATTTGTCATTTGTTTATCGACCGGTTCGTCTACATAAGCTTTTATCAAAATTCAAACAGAGTGTGAAAATAAGGCTTATGTAGACGAAAAGCGCGTCTGACGTATTAAATTATAAGCATGGTACCTTTGATAAAAATTATGCTACCTTACGTTGGGTAAAACAATTAGTGTTTCGCATATTCAAAATTTAATCGATAGTTACAGAAATTAAATATTTTAATGATATGAATAAACACAAAACTGCAAATATATCACGGCAAAGATGTTTAAAAAGAATTTCTATTTTATTCAACATTTTGTTTTTATTTTGTGTTTACTACAATTTTTACCTTTTTTCAACAATGCAGCGACTCTTTTCACAAAAAAACTTACGATTAAAATTGATCGTAAGTTATACTGAAATGCGTATGACTTACGAGTATTTTTACTCTTAAGATTTTTTGTGAAAAGAGCCACTGCATCGTATTAGATTTAGTCCAAACCTCTCCGATGAAATCCTCTTATTATCTTCCCCAATCATGTCAATAAGCATGATTAATAGTTTGCCACTAGAAATTTATCAAACACAAATTAATCTGTTCATATTAGGCAGAGCAATGCCTTATACAAATGAGAAATACGCAGGCAACGAAGGACCCGTCTTAGTCAAAATATGCAAGAATGCTTCGGTGCAACAATTAATTTAAGATTTATTCTAAGCCTGTACGACATCTATACCCCTCGATGCTCACCCCTGAAAGCACAATGAGATGTCCTCATAATGAATTGTCAGCCGTCAATAGTTTTTATGTCGTTTTTAATGTGCATACACATTTCAACTTAAAGAAAAGCAAGCAATAATCAATCATTCAGTATTGGTGTAAATAGTTAGCCTATGTTTATCTGTAAGATTGAAATCACAACAGATTATCCAAATACTCGTTCGTTACCGAATATGTTCTAATGACGACCAGTCTTGAAAATGAAGGAAAGCTAAAAATAAAGATGTTTTAAGAAGTGATGTAGACCAGAAATACTAGTGCACACTTTTAAAAAAAACTCATTATCAATTCTGAGATAATCTTGAACTAATGGTATTGTAAATGCATTTAATGAGTCTGAAAGTAATACAGACTCGGTTAATATTTCTCGCTTATTCTTTCTGTTTTATCAGTTATTACATGTAGATAGTAAAAAAATGAAACCAGAGGATAATGGAAGGTTATCAGATCATTGTAAGGGAGGCATAGACACAGGGTCTGTATAAGATTGATTTAAAGTAATAATATCTATGTGATTAAAAAATTGAGACCAATATTACCGTCTGATAATTATTGTCCACAATTTCTGTATGGTTTGATATTTGAATTTAAGGAGGCTCGAGGGTACAAAAATTTCAGCAAAATTTTAAACAATTTTTTTTTTTACATTACACATTTTATTTATTACACTATTAGTTGTTACTTTATGAAATTGTACAAAAATCAACCAAAAAAATCCATTCGTTGTGGCCCCAGATGACTTTTTAAATATTTATATCATTGAAAAAGCTCTAAATTATCTCCCTTTGGTGCAAAAATGCAATTTTTTGGCATTAAAATTGAAAAATCTTTTTTAACTCATCGGTGACCTATTTTTTTTTTATTATTTTTTTTCAAATAAGCTGTACTTAAGCTGAACCATTGTAAAAATTAAGCGATTTCTGTCATTTATTTCTTTTTTTATTTCTTCTACTAGTTCAACAGAAAAATAGTACCTTAACAAAAATGCATGGTTCTTTCAAAGGGAGATTGCAAGCTTAAATGAACGGTGACCCCATTTTTTATTTTATTTTTCTATTAAGTATATGATAATGTTCATTTATTTTTAGAAAAAAAATAGCGAAATCCTATATTTGAAAAAAAAGATGTATACCCTCGAGCCCCCTTAATACAGATACTGGTGTCTGCCAATTGAAAACCAAATTTTATATTTAATACATTTTGTAGATGTTTGACCGTAAAAGATCTAAAAGTCAGTTACACGAGTAAAAATTTATATTTTGTAAAAAATTGCTACACCACATAGGGATTAGTAAAGCAATGTACAGTGATGTTGAAAATGGTGGATTAAACCTGGCCTTAAAGCTAGCTAAACATCCACATGTATGACAGTCGCAGAAAATTCCATAATATTGACAACGATGTGTGAACAAAACAAACAGACATAATAAGTAAAAATGTTAAAAATAGGGGTACAGCAGTCAACACTATGAAACCAAATAAATATTTATCAAATAAACACAAAAAGGCATATCGACAAAGCACAATAGTAAAAATGAAAAAACAAGTATACAAGAATGTACCATAGCACATTAACACAATGACGGGATGTATAAGTACAGCGCCACGTCATATGTAACAAAGAAACACAAAAATAGCATATACTATAAAAACAAGCATATATGTCAACAAAGATACTTGTAAACAAAAAGAAATACATGGTAGGTATTGACAAAAAATATGTACAGTCTTTTCTTCTATACATCTCGTCATTAACTTTATCCCTGATCACACCTCTGTTAAATAACTTCAAGTTAATGACATTGTAATTTCATGCTACCCAATTTGGTCCTCATAAAGGATGGTCAATATGATAATACATTCAGTCATGTAACCGTATAATTTAAAAAAATTAGCATTATTAAACGTTTACTTGCAATACATTTCACACATATCAAGTGTAAAGAAAAGATCAGGTGTCAGATTGACATTTAAATAAGATGAACTACTACGCATGTGAAGGTTTATAAATCAGGTTTGTGTTGTTATTTTTATTTATTGTTAGGTTATTTTTACACACATATTGCATACAAAATTACATGAATCAAAACATTGTGCTTCTGGAAACTTCGGTATCCGATTGTACATGCATACATTGAATTAAGATATGAAATCAATGTACTTTCATTTTAATAATCATGGCCGTGGTACGATTTACTACCATTGAATTGTCTTCCGTGTTTATTCGTGATTTGTAGACATTTATATTCGTCCTGCATAATGTAAAAACATAAGGTATTAGCCATCCGTTTTAATTCACGGTTAGTGCGTATTTTTCAGTTTTCTGAAAAGGCGTTGTTATATCTTAAGCTAAATTTAAGTCAACAACAATTGCGTTTTATCGTTTTTAACTCGCCTGTTTAGCGTAAAAATAGTCATCATTTGTGTATTTTGATTCATGTTTAATAATACGTTCTGATTAAGGCCAACTGCTCTTTTTTTTATGAAAACGGAATGGTCATATGAAATGCAACATCGCTTCGTCAAAATTTACAAACTGTAACATCAGTTATGTTAGAGTGCGTATAGATGTCCATGGACGTCTAATCATGCCCCTATTGTAACCCAGGAGCCTGTTGTTTAGTGGTTGTCGTTTGTTGGTGTTATTCACATGTGGTTTTTTTTCGTTTTTCGCAAAAGACATCTTAAACAAAGCACAGGTGCCTACATAATTTATTATCCATCAGTGTTGATTCACTATTAGTGCGTGCCTTTAATATTTCTGAAAAGGCGCGCGTAGTTATATCTGGGTTCAATTTAGTCTTTATTCAGATCATATGTTAGTAAGCTATTGATCAAGGGTGTTCAGAGCAGTCTGTGACAAACGTGTTACAGACAACAGCATGCCCAAAATAACAATGACGGTGAGACAACACATTTCCCAGAAGACTAAGATTAACTATAGATTAAACAGCACGAATCCCACCCAAAACCGTGTTGAATTTGTGTGCCCCGGAAGGGTCAAAATGTCCTGCTACACTATGAACAACCATTGTTTTACTCTTTATGATTATCGTTGATGTGTCATGGTGATTAGTGATAGCACGCGAATTAATACATTGTATGTCTTTATCTAATCCTACGACATCGTCACATTCAAATAAAAAAAATATATGCAACATCCAAACTTTTCACCTTAACATGTAGATCGTCGACAAAAATATCAAAAGAATTTCATAAAATTTTGCAAACATCATCAGTGCAAGATATATATTATCGTTAGACAAAACAAAACGAACTGATATTGGGGTTAAATATCTAACCAAAACACGGACAGCACAATTGACACTCAGTTTACTTGAAGATAAATTCAAATTATAAGTTTGAGCCGGCTTGATAAACTACATTAGCTTCGACGTAGATATTCAGTTATTTAGCATATTAACGTTTGTATATTACTTTTATAATTATTAATAAAGATGATGTTCCTTTTATGTATTTTGTTATTTTAGATAGGAAAATGAGATTAAGAGAACACTTTCTCTGTAGAAAAGATGAAAAAAAACTTACTATTTGTCGTTAGTGTGTTACTTTTACTGGAATGCTTAGTAGGTAATAAGAAGATGATAACCTATAGGTATATTCAATACATAAATGGTTACATATTTGACTAGCTTCATGACAAGTAGAATACACAGATTAAAGGGAATGCCCTCTAAGGAAGGAGAAGTAAATGTACTATAGTATGACTTAGAAAAATGAAAAAAATGAAAATTTCACGAATCTAGCATTTAGACATGAAACGAGATATAAAAAAAAGGCAATCATTCAGAAATTTACCCATTGGTCCTGATAGTGTTTATGGATACATCACTACATTGACAACTCTTGTAACCCTTATGCAAAATTTTGTAGTAATCTATATGTATTTGTTCTCTGTTAATCTCAGTGATGTTTTGTTTGTTATAAGACCTTTCAGACACTATTAGGACCAATGGGTAAATTCAGAAATTTACCCATTGGTCCTAATAGTGTTTATGGATACATCACTACATTGACAACTCTTGCGAACTAAACCTGTAGATTTTAAATCGTTTAATTTGATGATACCACAATGATTTACATTTTCCCGAGTGTTACAAAATATTTTACCACTTTTCCGAATTAGCTATCATTAATTTTAAAAATATAGTCCTTGCAGGTGAGAAAAATTATAATGGATACCAATAATCGTTTTTGTCTTCAAAGCAGAAAAAAGTCTGAGACATAAAAGTACAAATGATTTAAAAGATATTCACAACGAAATTTACGACAAATATTACAACAATTGTTCTTGTCTTCAGTTCCAATGAGCATTTTAAAAGTGATCCTAGATTATTTAATTATGAAATTAATATACAGTTCCTTCTTTCTTATGAATAAAACTCACGAACTAAGTCAGTTGTTTTAGAACCAAATATAAACAAACAAGTGTTGCTTACTTTTTTGTTCGCAGTTGAAAACATAATGACATTCATCATCTACATGATTACAAAAAGAAAAAAAGATAAATATACGATTAGGTTGTAACTTTTTTGTATATACATTTACCCAACGTATATGATAGAGTATGTTCTAATATTCAATACTGTATGATAACTGTAGAAAAAATTGAATCTGATATGTAAAACTCTATTTTCTTGTAAGCTCAAGAATGCAGTTCAGATCAGTGGCAATGTAAGGTTGGACCCTGTAAAGATTGTGGCAATGGAACATGTATTGATAGAGCATTATTATGTGATGTCGACTTCAATTGTGAAGACAGGTCTGATGAGGTGAATTGTAAGTAAATAAAAACACTTTACATTATGTCACTATATGGCAACAATTAAAGTGATCGAAATGTTATGTATCAATTCGTGAATCTTTAACACAAAATCACTTGGCGCACACAAAAAAAAAAAAGAAAGCATAGAAATGGTGTCTATGATTTTGTTTCTTTATCGGAAATACACAGTTGACGCCATTAACAAGAGAAATAGAGTTCCATTTAAATATTTTCAAACATTTTATCGATAATTTGATTCAGAAATAGAAAGATATGAATCTAGATACAAATACAATGTTTGAAATGTGATTTTATCATGAAAAGTGAGGTGCTGACAATAAACTTGTCACTTAAACTGTGATACTGTGTTCTCTTTTTCTATCTTTTATTACTGGTATAATGTTGTCTATTATGTTTGTTAAGTATCACTGCGTGACCCGTTATTATATGAGCTACCTCGGTTTTCTTGCAGAGCTTGTCTGAAAGGTCTTATAACAGACAACACATCACTGAGATTAACAGAGAACAAATACATATAGATTACTACAAAATTTTGCATAAGGGTTACAGGAGTTCATTATTAATTGTTACTGTGAAAAACATAATAATTGATCCTACTCAAAACAATAAAAAAATCAGTCCTGAATCAGGACAAGACAAGGCGTAAAGACTAATACAAAGAATCCTGTATCTCTTAAATATTGATCACAAGCAAGACTTCATGTCCTTATTGTATTTAAACAGACCAGACACCGCCATTACGGAATGAAACAAAAATAACTCGTAATAATCCAAACTGCAGTTGATAGGTTAAAACCCTATAAACTATCTTTAAATTTAGTAAAAACAAAATTGGCAATTATCATTGATCATATCACATCTGTTTAAACATAAATTGATGTTTTTTTTAATTAAAGGTACAGTTTTCAGTCCGTGTATTGAAGGTTTAAATTATCGGTGTGATAATGGACAATGCTCGAATAGATGCAATGGAATTCCGGACTGTCTCGATGGTTCTGATGAAGTCAATTGTGACATACAACCGTTTACGGTATCGTCGATATCGTCTTCATCATCGGTATACATTACATTGTCCTCACTACTAACACAAACAACACCACTGCCAAGAGATAATACAGAGCCGTCACTACATACAGAGAAAACAGTGTCTTCGTTTCAATCAGACAAAACAGAATTTACAATAAAAAAATTGACAACAGAACCAATAACATCTGAAGTGAGAACAGAAGAAACAACTCTACAATTGACAACAGAACCGACAACACTGGATTTTACAACCTTATTAACAACATCTGATTTTACTACAGTACCAAACACATCTGAGATGACAACAGTACCAACAGCATCTGAGATGACTACAGAACCAACAACATCTGAGATGACTACAGTACCAACAAAATCTGTGATGACTACACAACCAACAACATCTGAGATGACAACAGTACCAACAACACCTGAGATGACTTCAGAACCAACAACATCTGAGATGACAACAGAACCAACAACATCTGAGATGACTACAGTACCAACAAGACCTGAGATGACAACAGTACCAACAACACCTGAATTGGCGACAGTACCAACAACATCTAAATTGACAACAGTTGCAACAACAGCTGTATTGACAACAGTGTCAACAACATCTGAGATGACAACAGTACCAACAACATCTGAGATGACTACAGTAACAACAACATCTGAGATGACTACAGTACCAACAACATCTAAGATGACTACAGAACCAACAACATCTGAGATGACTACAGTACCAACAACATCTGAGATGACTACAGAACCATCAACATCTGAGTTGACCACAGTACCAATAACATCTGAGTTGACCACAGTACCAATTACATCTGAGATGACTACAGTACCAACAACATCTGAGTTGACCACAGTACCAACAACATCTGAGATGACTCAAGTACCAACAACATCTGATTTGACTACAGAACCATCAACATCTGAGTTGACTACAGTACCAACAATATCTGAGTTGACTACAGTACCAAAAACATCTGATTTGACTACAGAACCAACAACATCTGAGATGACTTCAGGACCAACAACATCTGAGATGACATCAGTACCAACAACATCTGAGATGACTACAGAACCAACAACATCTGAGATGACTACAGTACCAACAACATCTGAGATGACTACAGTACCAACAACATCTGAGGTGAATTCAGTGCCAACAACATCTGAGATGACTACAGTACCAACAACATCTGATTTGACTTCAGAACCAAAAACATCTGAGATGACTACAGAACCAACATCATCTGAGATGACTATAGTACCAACAACATCTGAGATGACTACAGTATCAACAATATTTGATTTGACTTCAGTACCAATAACATCTGAGATGACTACAGTATCAACATCATCTGAGATGACTACAGTACAAACAACATCTGAGATGACAACAGTACTAACAACATCTGAGATTACTACAGAACCAACATCATCTGAGATGACTATAGTACCAACAACATCTGAGATGACTACAGTATCAACAATATTTGATTTGACTTCAGTACCAATAACATCTGAGATGACTACAGAACAAACAACATCTGAGATGACTACAGTACCAACAACATCTGAGATGACTACAATACCAACAACATCTGATTTGACTTCAGTACCAATAACATCTGAGATGACTACAGTACAAACAACATCTGAGATGACAACAGTACTAACAACATCTGCGATTACTACAGCACCAACAACATTTGATATGACTACAGTATCAACTACATCTGAGATGAATTCAGTACCAACAACATCTGAGATGACTACAGTATCAACATCATCTGAGATGACTACAGTTCCAACAATATCTGAGTTGACTACAGTACCAACAATATCTGAGTTGACTACAGTACCAACAACATCTGAGATGACTACAGTACCAACAACATCTGAGATGACTACAAAACCATCAACATCTGAGATGACTACAGTACCAACAACATCTGAGATGACTACAGTACCAACAACATCTGAGATGACTACAGTACCCACAACATCTCAGATGACGACAGTACCAACAACATCTGATTTGACTACAGTACCAACAACATCTCAAATGACAACAGTACCAACAACATCTGATTTGACTACTGTACCAACAACATCTGAGGTGACCACAGTACCAACAACACCTGAGATGACTACAGTACCAACAACACCTGAGATGACTACAGTACCAACAACATCTGAGATGACCACAGTACCAACAACATCTGAGATGACTACAGTACCATCAACATCTGAGATGACTTCAGCATCTGCATTTACAACAACTTTAACGACATCAAATTTGACATCAATATCAAAAAGACCTAAATTGACGTCAGAATCTACAACTCCTGAATTCACATCAGTCTCAAGAGCATCTGCACTAATAACAGGATCAATAATGCAAACTGATATATCAGTATCTAAAACAGCATCAAATTCCGCCACAGAAACGACTGTAAAATTAACTGAGACTACAGCATCAACCTCATTTGTATCAACGTCACCAACAGAGAAAACAGTATCAATGTCACCAACAGAAACAACAGTATCAACGTCACTTACACAAGAAACAGTATCGACATCATCTAATGAGACAACAGTTATGACCACCACATCTAAAGAAGGAATTCTTCCAGACGAGAGAAGTAACCCAGGTAAAGCTTATCTATGTTTACTTTACGAAAAGCCCGAAAACACTCTTATGAATGAAATATTGGATTTAGTTTAGATTCTTTATTTTCTATTCATTCCATTATTATCTATTAATTAATCTAATCTTTTCCTGAATCGTTTAAGCTTTCGAAAGATTAAATTTTTCGAGCAAATAGCCTTTACAAGTGAATATTGGGATAATTGTAAAATAAAAACAATTTCGTTTATAACAATTCAAAATATAGCTACACATATCATATGATACATTGACGGAGAAAGTGAAGAGTTTAGCTTTTTTCTAATATAAGAGTGCTGTATTAATGTCTCATAAGACGTGGTTTCAAAGGTGTCAAAGCATAATTTATGTTTAAATCATCAAATATGATTTAAAGCAAAATAAATTCGTTGGTGATGTACATGACTCAAAATTAAAAAATTACAAAACGCGTCAAATATCTTACATTAAATGAAAATAAAAAAATAATTCGTGCATAGGTCTGCTTTGCCTCTCTTACATCTGTATCGCTCAAACCAAAACATCTGAACACAGAATGTTCATAACAAAAAAGTACTTATTCACCTTAACATGATATTTTAATAATTTTTTTTTAAATATTATCATTTTTGTACCAATAATTCTTATTATATATTTTTGCAGATACTATTTTCTTGTATGTTTCTATTCCAATACTTTGTGTGTTGTTGTTAATATTGCTAGTGTTTGCGTGGAAACAGAAAATTAAAATGAGGTGAGTGTATTACATACTATGTCCATGATGTATGAAATAGATTGTCCAATTTTGAATTGAATGGCTCTTTTATTATGTAGTGTAATGTTTTAGATCGTTTTCTTCAGTGTTTAACATTTTATAAATATCAAAACATCATGCGTAGTATCAATGTGCACTAATAATATCGAAAACGGCAAACTAGTTTGTTACTGTTTTCAGCAGATACATGTATTCCATGTTCAGGTCAATAAAATAATGACACAATTTGGTCTACCATAGAATTGAACTAACAATGACAAATTTCAAATGGTATCAACTGCGTACGTTTTGATAAGTGGAAGAACGTAAGGGTCGGATAAAAAAAACACAAGTCCTTATTTTATTTTGTAAAAGATGTGAACAAATGAACCTTTTACTGTTAATCTGTAAACTTTCTTTGTTTCCAGCACCCTTCATTTGCATTCGCATCTTTGTCCGTTTTAGATCGTAGAATTCTAAATGGTACAATTAACAAGTCTTGCAAATTGTGACAATTTTGACCGAAGCTGGTTACGCTAGTATTCGTTGGTAATCAATGCATAATTGGAGGGGTTTACCGTGTGAACGCACTGGAAGTCCTTTGATCGAAATTGATGCCAACCCTTCTGCTTTCATTTATCTTGATTGGCAATATCTAAAATGAATTTGGGGGTTTAAACTTTTGTAAATCATTGTTTTCTTTAATTTAAAATTGGACTGCTGTGATTTAAATTACAAGACTGTGAGAACAAAAATGTTTGTAAAGTTAATATTTATATATCACCTTTAAAAATGATGAGTTTTATTATGTGTCATATTTTATATCCTTCAAACGTGCATTTCAGTGTGTTAGATGAACGCTTCGTCAAAATTTCACAAGTACTATCAACAACAACTATTTCGTATTTAATGAGTAGATCAAAGGTGACGAGTTGAAACATGTGAAACGTGTGATCAATTTTCGAATCTGCTAGAAATCCATTTTTTATTTGCCGATTCTTTGCATTATGAATTAAGTATGCCGAGCACGACAGTTCGTACCTTCTTGTTTATTGTAAATGTAAACGTTGGGAAATATGGTATCCCATAAAGAAGATTGAATGGTTGATCTTAACATTACATTGGTGTTCTAACTTGTGACCTACGCCATAGTACCAAAATAATCGAACCACATGTAAGTTAACTTCATGGTATATATCGAGAGCCTGTCTTATATTCTGATCGCCTACTCATAAGAAATATAAAAAAGAAAAATCAAAATTCAATTTGAGTTTTATATATCTTTGTGACATAAAAAAAAAATCAAGGACTAATGAGCATCATTGACTGCATATATAGATATAAGAAGATGTGGTATGAGTATACATTTATATTAATTGTAATGAGATTGAAACTTTAAACCATATTGCAGGAAAAGTAAAAGTTTTAATATCATGGAAAGAAAAGGACTTAGTACAATGTCGTTGGATGTTTATTCGATCAGAACCAATGAATCAGTTGAAGCATTCCCTGCAGAGAATGTCCTTATGACAAGTGATCATGACCACCACGAACCACTTTTTTTTCAGAAAATTGTCACATTTTATAATCCTGAATTCTAAAGTAAGTGAACAATTATTATTATGAATTCATACATCAAATTCAGTAATAAATGAAATACATTGATTACTCAATCAAGCGGAAACAGATAACACACATGCCAAAAAAATGAGTTTTCCCGTCTGGTGCCATAATGCATCAACCGATATTTTCAAGACATGGTCAACGAAATGAGAACGCATAGCAACAGATGTATATGTGAAGTAATCTATTCCTTAAAATTTGTACTTTATTACCAATATAAGTAGAAGCAATGAAAAGAATAGATAACTCATAAATTCTGATATTGGCAAATTATAGAAGTCGTGACATCACAAAACTGACCATTAAGAATGATGCTCATTATTGAATTGTTGTTGTTATTTAAATCGTTCAATATTTTCGAAATTTTAAATATTGAGTAAATGGCCAATCTATAAGCAGTGCACACACACACAATTATGCAAATGCATGCATTACTTGAAACATAAATATATTTGTTCATGGTTTTTTAAAGGTTAAAGTTGATTTTACTGAACCCGCCACCCGAATTTGTTAGAATTCATTTATAAGAGGTGCATATCAGGTAGCAATATACAGTTAGAAAAAAAAACAATTAACCTCTTGAATTTTAAAATCCCCTTTTCCTTGCCTTCTTACAAATCAGGCCATCTGTTTTTGTCATATATGTGCATATGTATGTAATTAGTATATCTTCAATAGATTTTATATCAAGTAGTTAAAATGGTTAAATATAATTTCTTTTTGGTGTATCCATGGCAACACTCTGCATTTATTTGGTATAAAATATTGGAAACATGGGGGTAAAGATGTCACATATTTCCCAAAATTTTGGCCAGAAGTAGAATTTCAATCCGTTGGAGTGATACCTTTTTTTGAAATTGTTTACATATATCTAGTAAGAGATCAAATAAAAATCATATGTCCTTCGTATCATTTTTTAATAAAATTATTCTTGTGAAAAAACAATATTGTTAAACATTACATTAATTTCTGGATCTTGATGTTCTTTTGAAAGCTGAATTAGTCATCAGCTGTCTAAAAATGAATTTTATTGCACAATAGCCTTCATATTTGAAAAATCAATGGGAGCCAAAATGCGAAATCACACTCCTAACTGTCTATGATTGTGTATTGCTACTTCAACAATAGCACGAAAAAAGTGCTAATAATAAAAAAATGTTATAAAAAACTGAGTGGTAAATGCTTTCCATTGCTATTTTTGGCGTACGATTAAAAGCAATACCAAAAGAGGATCAAATTAACAATAACTTTAACGAGTATTAGCAGTTAACAAAATGATACAAAACAATATCACGATCTGGGTTCAAAAAGTTCAGTCTCATACGTAAGATTGTGAAAAATCCGTAACCAACTATTTCATCATACTGCTATAGTTTTGTATTTATCGATGAACATAATAAAATTGAGAATGGAAATGGGGAATGTGTCAAAGAGACAACAACCCGACCATAGAACAAACAACAGCAGAAGGTCACCAACAGGTCTTCAATGATGTACATTTATTACTATTCGATTATAATCTTATTAACTACAGTTAAAATACTTCAAATCATGACAGGTTTTACACTTTAATGGCTGCGTCTTCTGTTTACGAATACGTTGATACAACCTTAGCAGTGTGTTTGATTTAAAGCTCGTTTACGTTTCCCCTCTTTTTTTTCATTGTAAGATATGATACAATTGTGATATAATTATTACATTGAGATAAATCATCAATAGAAAATTGTTATTTATGTATGAAACTACTACAGATAATATACAGTGGAAGTTACATGTCAACAAAACGCTTTAAATGCCTTACTGCATAAATCATTGTCTTCAGATATTTTTATGTGCATTAGTACCGGTATTCCGTTATCGGTGTTCTTACATGCTCAAATGAATAAGACATATTCAGATGTTTGTGCATATGTTTTATCTTTCAGCGTAACGTCATGATTATGAATATTAATTATTTCGACAATGGTTCCCAACAGTGAAGACGACCAAAACTGTAAATTGGTCTTTTGAATGACGTGATCAAGTCTACGACTAACAGTGACATTAGTGTACAATCTACATTTGCAAATTGCAGTTATAATTAGACCAATTGAACTAAATAGTTGAATGTCGCCATTTGTGTATATGTGCCTGTCCTGCCGAATCAGGGACCTAATCAATGGTGAAAAGGTCTTTCTATGCACGCAACTGTATGGAATGGCTGATTAAATTTTGTCATATCGGTTTTTTTTATAGCTGACTATGCGGTATGGGTTTGTTCATTATCGAAGGCCGTACGGTGACATATAGTTGCAAACTTCTATGTCATTTGGTCTCAGTTGGAGAGTTGTCTCGTTGACCATCATACCACATTTTTGTGTTTTTATATATGATTACATGGAGTTCTATACGTGTTTCAAGAATAAACTAATAATAAAACTTTATACATTTAATTCGTCCAACGTGTTTTCCGTTAACTTCACCAGGAATGCTCACGCCTAAAAATGGACAGTCAGGGATACATAAATACCAACATATAATAAGTAGCTACTTAATCAAAAGGTACCTTAAAAGAAAAGCTTAATTCCACCACAGTCAATTTTACCGGAGGGAGTTGGAACCTTGTTATTTTACAATACTGAAAACCTCTTGTTTCTCCCATAGCGATATAGGGTTGCTTTCTCTTTTTCTCATTTTGTTTGATCAATTTGTGATGTTCATATTGTACTATGTTGCTCTTGTTGCACATGTTGCACACATTGTGCGTATGAGTGAAATAATAATAAACGTAACTAGTGAAAACTAGTCTGTCATTATAGGATATAATTCATTATTGCAAGACTTTTCTATGATTTCATATATAAGACCCTAGAAGAAATTATACTATTTCTTTTGCTTTCTTTTTGAAGTATGAATTCAAAGTAAAACCATTATTAAACCAGATCTAAAATTGCTTACATTTATGCCTTTATGTGATGAATAGTTGTCTTATTGGCAATCATACCACATGTTATTATCATGTTTATATTAAAGACATCTTATTTTTATATAACGAAAGCTTACTTTGATATAAAAAGCTTATTTCATTTTGATCTGAAGACAGCTGATCATTTTATAATACATATTCTTGTTATTGAAGTTATTAAATTAATACATTAAAGTATACTTTTTTAAAAAGGTCTAGAGGCTTAAATGTATATGCATCATGACATACTGTCAAAATATTTTCTATTACTTGATTAAAAAAATTTATAATATTACCATGATCAACGTATTTTGGAAACCTGGATAAGCTATCAACTCATAGCTTTACGCTTTAACCTACTTGATTGAATGATTGATTGTTCGGTGTTAAACCCAATTTTCAGCACTATTGGGCTATTTTGTGTCTGTCAGTTTTTTTCTTGTCAAGGAAGAAGGAGTGTTTTGAAAAAACCACCGATCTTCGGTAGGAAAACTAACATTCCTAGTCAATTAAGATTAGAGTCCAGCGCACCTGCAACGTGCGGGATTCGAGTCCACAACTTCAGTGTTGACAGGCTATTGATACAATATTTGGTTTACTTAAATTACTCGGCCACAGAGGCTCATTTACATTCTTGACTAAACACAGAATAGCACAAGAGCATTACTGTTGATAACAGATTGCAAATATACATTTTTACCATTTTTACATTGGCGACAATTGTAGCACTATTTGAGTCACGTACTTCATAACGTTGATTTACAGACGACACCTTGTTAGAAGTAAAGAAAAACTTCTTGTTAATTTGTTATAGTCCACAAATAGGAGGTTCTGTTGCTTTTTCTTTTTCTCAAGGTTTTGTTCTCATCTTTATCTTTCAACTTTGCTATTAAACATGCATTGCTCGTCAGTGTCTATGTAAGACTCCTTAGTTACTCTAGGAATGATGAAAAGAATATTTTGCTTTTGTTATATGGAACAATGAGTCGTTACTAGCTTGCTCGTGGCAGAATTGACATCCTTGGTATGCGTGTTTCACTTGTGTGATCTTTCGTGTCGATACAACTGACAAAACATAGGAATTGTGTGTAACATTTGAATTTTTCAAGTGTTTCAAGTGAAACCAAACATCTAAATGATATAGAATTATTTTAAAAAGTGCCAATCACTAAGGGATTGTTTGAGGTATTAAATACTGACATTTTTCGAAATTAAGGCAAAGCATTGCATTTTGTTGGTGAACAAATCTATATTGAAATTTGAAATGCTAAACCATCTCTTGAATCGTTTGGTGAAAAACAAATATTGTCAGAATCCGCGCCAAAAATTGTTTTTTTTTTTATTCCGATCCCATGAAAATAAAAGAATAACAGCTTCAACTTCAAAATGAGAGAATTTCATTTTCAAGGAGAAAAAAAAGGAAAGGAACGGGAATCGTAATCAAAATTTAAAAAAAAGTGAACGTAAATTCTCATATAATGGATTTAATTAACTGCGGAGTTTTGCAATTTTTCGTCTTAACAATATATAATATTTCATAACTTTATATATAAGAACCTATGAGCGATAAACATATTTGTTTTTCTCGATTTGAAGTATTGAACATCAATTAACAACTGTGTATTTCATAATACATCTTTGGGTTCTTTGTGTTATTAAATATGCGTGGAAATATTACTTTATATCAAAAGACTGATAATTAGTCCAGGCAATTTAAAAGAATTTCAAACTTGTTCTTAGTAAGCATCCAATATAAGTTTCCTCTTGGTATTAAATGAATTTGTCACAATTTTTTCAAATGATTATAAATTACTTGATAAAAACAAATATGATTCCGCTGAAAAAAATATTGAAAAAATATGAATTAGCTATCATCTAAAAGGATTTGATCTCTATGACTAAACACAAAATAACATAACGTTAAGATGACAGATAAAATAAAAATTTCCAAAGGCGACAATTGTAGTATTTGTCGAGAAACATACTTCCTAAAAGGAATTTTTCGACCGAAATATTGTCAGAATGAGGAATTTCTTCGATTAAACCATGTACCAAGTCAGTAATATGACAGTTGTTATCAAGTCGTTCCGTTGGGTGATATAGTGGAGTGTTTGATTTTGGTAGGTTAAATTGACGTCCCTCTTTTTGAATTTTCCTAAGAGTTCGGTATTTTTTCCTAGTTAAAGAATTTTTTTTTCATCTGATATATGTAAGAGTTCATGGGATGTACCAATCAGGATTAGTCATACTCCTTATTCTCAACAGCATGATATCTTCATTTAATAGCTTTGATCCTGTTACAAAATTATTTATGGTAAACAATACGGTGTTTCTGATTCTCTAGGATGAGGAAATGCATGGTGCGTTAGACATACCACATCTTCTTTTTTATAAGTACGAATTTCACATACATAAAAAAAAATGTCATATTACTTTTGAGTTTTTATTTGGCGTCGCGAGTAAGTTAAGGCAACTGAAGCTTCCTTTTTACCATAGTTTTGTTTTTGTCATCGATTCATACAGTTGAACATGTACATGAAATCTTTTATCAGTCTTGGGATTTCAAGTCAGGCTGAAATGAAAAAGAAGTGTTAAAGTTCATTTGAATTATAAATTTGGAAATATAAATAATAAAAATTCAGATTTTGAAACTTTACTGACATTGAATTCTATTTTGTGTTAATATAATGATGTACATGAAGTTAGCGACCGGTTCGTTATGCATTATTTGTATTAAATGAAAGAGTTAAAGACGAGAGTATATATTGTAATTTATATATGACTTAGGAACATCATTATCGTTTGGCAAGAATTCTGACAATAGTAAATAATATTTGGTCGTTATCGTAACCGGAGTATTCTCTAAATATACTACTTGCAAATTTGCATTTAAACGGTAACAACAACGTAGTAAAATACTACAGGCTTAAATGTATTGTCTTATATTCATTTTTTTATCATCCTTTAACATATTTTACAATTGTTTGAAGAATAATTCATAAACTTTAGCCTTAATATGTGCACTGTTTTAATAATTCGCTTCACAGATGTAGATTGTTTTGTTAATACTGATCAGGAACAAAAAAAACCGATGTGTTAAGTTTTCATGATAAGTAAGCCCTTGTTGAAACGATTAATTTTAGATTTCCTGTTTATTTTATTGAAAAAAAATATAATATGGATTATACATCAATGAGGCTATAACTCGTCGGTACAAAAGGATTATCTACAAGATTAAAGATCAAGTCAGAATGTTTTTACTTGTTTGGAATCTTATTTCAGGGTGAACCCAACACTGTGATTAAAATAGATTTGGCTCGTTTAATTTTCATAAAATTTTGACACAATATTTATTTTGACCTTTTGACTAAAATATAACAATTTCGATAAATTTAAACCTCACAATTTACAGGAATAATTTCATTTAATATATAGCAGTTTGATGAACACTAACTTTGATCATTGATTTCTCTTTATTAATAGTATGTGATTAAGACATTCAGCTGATTTTTGAAGAGTTAACTCCCTTGTGGTTCTGTATCCCTTAAGCATTGTTAGATTTAATGAATTACAAAGTCGCAAATAAAGAATCTCAATATACGAATTTTGAAATAACACAGTTACAAGTTACAAATTGAAATTACACAGTCACAAGTTACAAACTGACAATTTACAAATTAAGAATTTTGAAACTACACAGTTACAAGTTACAAATTGAGAATTTACGAAATAAGAATTTTGAAACTACACACTTACAAGTTACAAATTTACAATTTACGAATTAAGAATTTTGACCCCGTTGGATTTCCATAGTGAATATCTTAAGATCATTTGTTTCTTTTCTAAAAATTGTAGAGAATTGATATAAGAAATTCAAGATGCAGATAATTTTTTGATGATTAAACAGTATAGAAAAACACATTACAGTTAAATAAATTTGGAATTTAACCAAATTGTTTCAGTTGTTTTTTTCTGTTGCTAATAAAAAAAAAAATCATGGCCTTTTGTATTGTAGATTTCGTTGCAGTTTAAATCTTTTATTAAGAATGTCGTCATTTCAGGTATAGGAATTTTTGTCAGATGTTCGGACTCCTTGAGTGTTTTACTACGATACAGGGTAAAATATTTTGCCCAATATCACATGCATCACCCGCCTTACTTTTCATGGAAGACTTCAATAAATAACTTATAAAAGGTCATTACTTAAATTTAAGCCGATTCTAGATTTCTTTTCTTGCGATTTGAGACCAAAATAATGCCAATAACAAATATAAGGTAAAAGTCCGATTCAGACTTTTCCCTGCCATTTTTTTTAAATCAAATACCTCGAAAAGGAGTTTCATAAAGCCAAAAGTAGTATACCGATGTTCAAAAGTCATTAATCGATTGACAAAAAACAAATCCGGGTTACAAGCTAAATCAATTATAAGAGGAAAACTGAAGTGCAACAAAAACAAACGCCAATATACATAGAAACGA